GGGATGGGGTCACTACGCTTTCCAATGCTTCTTTGTCCTGAGGCTGACCTAGATCCCAAGGGATGGAAAGTTGCTAGGCACTGACCAAACTTGTGATCATCTGGGAAATTTCTGTCCAATCCACTCATAGGAGCCCTGGGCAGACTGTCCTTACTCATCAGTCTGAGCATCTTTCCCCAGCTCTGGTCTGGGAATGCATCTGTCTCCTTGACTGGAGACCCGATATCTCGGCCAGGGTGGGCTGCCTCTTAGCCTTAGGTCTTGGAGGGAGATTCTGGTACAATCCACCCTTCTACAGCCTGACAGCCCCCAGGAGCCTACCCATACAGAGAGAGAGAGAGAGAGAGAGAGAGAGAGAGAGAGAGCGAGCGAGTGCAGATCCTGAGCTTGGGTGTGTGGGGGAGACAGAGCACCCACAGGGAACTCTTTTTGGGGCCTCCTTTTAGAGAGAAAATTTTTTGCTCAGCTTTATTCTATGTGGTTCCCTCACTTGGGAATGACAGAGGAGCTGCCCTGGCCCCAAGAGGGTGGAGCCTAACCAGCCAGTGGGTCCTCAACCAGCTGGGGTTGGGATGGCTGCAGAAGGACCTTACTCCCCCCTTTTCTGAACTTTGAAAGCAACTCAAAGAAACACAAATGTCTTTATGTTGTTCTAAAGACAATCGACTTTTTTTCTAATTGTGAAAGTAATGCATGTTCATTGCTTTCACAAATAATGGGAAAATAGGGACTAGAACACAGAGAAAAATGAATACTACTTGTAATTTTACCACCAACGTCAGCTTCATGATTTCAGATGTTTACTCTACAGAGGGGTACTCCCTTGGGTGAGACAGTCAGTGGGGGTAGTAGAAGGTGGGGCATCCTAGAGCAGGAAGTCCTGGTTGAACACCTCATTCCAATACCTGTGAGTGGCACCATCTTGAGTACACTGCTTGGTTTCCTTGGTGGTGGGTTTTTTTAGTGGAGGAAGCCATCACACTTGGCCAAGTTTGCTGATCTACAAAATAAAGATAAAGACATTGCATCTCTCAGGGGGCTAGATATTGTTTGGCACCTTGTGAAACACTCAATACATCTTACTGTGTGTGTGTGTGTGTGTGTGTGTGTGTGTATGTGTGTGTCTTTATCTATATCCATTCACACATCTATTTTTTTAAAATACAAAATTGGGAGGCTACAGACAACAACATTTTCTAACCTATTTTTTTTCCACTTTGCACCTATAGTAAGTATGAGTTTTATGCCACAAATATAGGCATTTAAAGAAAGATTAGGTCATTATATCAAATATTACCTGGCTCTGTGTACCTACCCTGCTTCACCATTGGCTCTGTGTCCACTCTGTCGAGAACTGGACTAGAAATAGTGAAAATCTTATCCTTTGTGTGTGTCACGATGTGGGTTTCCTGCTTTGGGTTTCCTGCTTTTGAGCACCAGGTCCCTTGTTCTTGGGCACGCTGCAGTTTCTGTGCTGGGCTTGGCAAGAGGGTGTTTGTCAGGATGGGAAGAGGGGGCTGGGATTTAGAGTGGAGTGTCCTGGGACTTGCTGCTGCCATTTCCCTGAGGACCGCCATCTGCCTGTGGCACAGATGAATGTGGAGTGGAAAGATGGGAAGGGCCAAGGGGACAGTTCCTGCAAATCTTTCTTCTGTCCCTATTCTCTCCCTCTGTCTCTCCCTATCAACAGCTTTCCCCTTTCCCCTCAAATTGCCCCTATGAGTTTAGAATTTGGAACAAAAACCCAGAAGGGGGCTTGGGGTTGTGGTTCCCTGGCAGAGTGCTTGCCTGGCATGTGTGAGGCACCGGGTTAGATTCTCAGCACCACATATAAATAAATGAATAAAAGAAAAAGGTTCATCAACATCTTAAAAATATTTAAAAAAAAGCAAAACAGAAGGGAGGTTGCCCTGCAACACATCTCGCCCCTGAGGCCAGTGAGCATTTACTTGTCGAGAGAGAAAAAAAAGGAGGAAGAACAAAATACAACAACCCCTGGCCTCCCTGCTTCTTCTTCATAGAGACAGCCAACACCAGCTATTATCTCAACTTCTTATTATACAGTGGACATTACACAGTGACTTTTTAAAAATGTCATTAAGAATTCTTTTGCAGGGTGACCTTTACGAGTTCCAAGAGATTGCAATATATTGATATTTCCCATTTTCTAATGCTTTGCTATTTAATATAACTGTAATAAGTATTCTTATACCTAAAATGTGAATGGATGGCTGATGCTTTCTTAGGATTTCTAGAATAGACCTTTACTGAGTCAAAGTATCTGGTTTATGTTTAAGGCATTTGGTCTTTTTCTGACCTTTACACTACTGTGCAAATCCCAAGTCACTCAGCCATATCTAAAGTCCTAAGTTCTTTTCGTGGGTAAGAGGGGACTTCATCTAGCTCAAGGGGCTTTACCAGTCTTGGCTTTTGGGGCACAAATGGCCTTCTTTTTTGCAAGGTGTCCTGAAAGTTTGCTAAATGCAACAGTGAAATTCCACAGTTACTTAGCACCAGGCTGCATTCTGGACAGGAAAGAGGCTATGGGTCAACACCTTGGAGTTCTGATGTCTAGTTTGGGTGTGTAGGGAGAGGGAGGCTCTCAATGGATGCTCATTCCCTCAGTCCTAGAATCAAGTGGTTTTTCCCTTCCAACATTTTTTCTCTTCAGTTTCTTCCAGATGCCCATCTGTAAGCTGGTATAAGGTCAATGATACAATTTTCATTTGTGGCAAACTGAGGGAGGAAAAAAGAAAAAGGACTGTGGGATGAATTTTTAATGGGGCTAGTTTTTTTTTTAAAATTTAATTTTAAGGAATGTCCTTTATTTTGAAAGAATAACCTTCCTTTTTGGTGTTAAAATGTTCTTTCTCTTGTGAAATGATCATGAAAGTAAATGACATTTTCTTTTACTCTCCCCACTTGGCAGTTTTAAACCTGGGAATTTTGGCTGATGCCTTTCTGTCCATGTTTGTCCCTTCACCCCATTTTGTGTTTCTGTGTAAATTTGTCTAGTCAAAAATAATAAAAAATTAGGGTCTACTGGGTTAAGTCTTCTCAAGGGTTAGCTCAGTCCATGGCCTTTGTTATGGTTTGGATATGAGGTGTCCCCCAAAAGCTCATGCGTGAGACAATGCAAGAAGGATTAGAGAAGAAATGATTGGGTTATGAGCATCTTAATCCATCTAGTGAATTAATCCTCTGATGGGATTAACTGAGTGGTAACTGAAGTGGGCAGGGAGTGGACAGAGGAGGTGGTCCCTGGGGGCATGACTTTGGGGTATATATTTTGTATCTAGTGAGAGGG